AAAACAAAAACAAAAACAAACAAGCAAACAAAAACAAAGCATAAATAAAGGACAGAAATAGACTCACAGACAGAGAATACAGACTTGTGGTTACCAGGGGGGTGGAGGATGGGAAGGGATAGACTGGGATTTTAAAATTGTAGAATAGATAAACGAGATTACACTGTATAGCACAGGGAAATATACACAAAATATTATGATAACTCACAGAGGAAAAAATGTGACAATGAGTGTGTGTATGTCCATGAATGACTGAAAAATTGTGCTGAATAACAAATATTTATGTGGTGTCTATTCTTCAGCGGACACTGTATTAAAAGTGGAGATGTTGACACAACATTGTAAAATGATTATAAATCAATAAAAAATGTTAAAAAAAATTTCCAACAAATGTGTATAAAATGGAATTTCATTACAGTAGGAATCTGCATTTCCCACATCACTGAATGTCCTTTCCATCTTACAGATTAGCCTTCAAAGATGATGTGGGAAAGTATATATGACTACAATTCTTTATTTTAATTGTCTCTATTTAATTTTTAGGTCTTCCTTTCTCAAATCCTCCCTCCCCGTGTTCCCAATAGTCCTTTCTTGCCATCTTCTAATGTTCTTAGTTTTGACCTTAGGACAACTATAATTAGGGAGGAAATGGACCAAGACTACTCTCCTTTTTTCCTAGTTTCTCTCCCTACAGGGCAGCAATGTGGAATTGACTAGCAATGCTGCTAGTTAATTTCCCACTAGGATTAGCTCAATGAGGGCAGAACTTGTTCCCTTTCGTTTACAAAGACCCTTTCTGGGAGACTATTTTCTTTTATGAACTTGAAATGAAAAAAATAATCTGCTGAGTTTTTTACTTGAACATAGACAGCATTAAAAATGGTTAGCAATCTGAGTTCTACACCTCTGTCCTGAATATTATCATAGGCTAGTCATTAACCCTTTTAAACAAAAGTTTGAAACAAAAGTAGATGATCTCTGTGGTTCAGTTAAGTATCAAAATGTTTTTATTCCATGAACAAAATTAACTAGTAGACTAATCTGGTCCTTATGGTCACTTCATTCTCTCTCTCTGTCTCAGTCTCTGATCCAACCAACCCAGTTAATCTTGGCATTAACATAGGTTGAGATGCGAGATCCATAAGGAGGATTTCAGAGAGGACTCTACCATCCTTCTTTAATTGCTCTGTTTGTCATTGCATCTCCACTTTTAATACAGTGTCCGCTGAAGAATAGACACCACATAAATATTTGTTGGTCAGTTGAATGCATAATGATTAAATGAGCTAGGTCTTTATTCTCTATTCCTACCTTCACTCCACTATCACACTCAAAGTTAAAAGTTATTTGAGTTGTATTTTATTTATGATAAGATCAGGAAGCCCAGAGCAGAGAACATCTCCATGACCACAAGTTCAGCTAGTTCTCCATTGCCTTTTAAACATTTCTCACAAAGACCAAAAAATCACCACAACCAACTGAATCAAAATGTCTGGGCATAAGGACCAGGTATCAGTATTTTTCAAATACTCCTCAGGAGATTCTAACATACAACCAAGGTTGTAAATCATTAATCTAGAATAATTATAATCTAACCTTTTTTTCTCATATCTCATTGGTTCTTTCTCTTCCC